TAATAAAATTTGTGTTTGAACATTTATTTGTTTATTATCATTTGTGTTTTTAATAGCAATAGATTGATTAAACAATCCCACTTGTTCGATATATTTTAAACGGCTTTGAGTATTCTTGTCGACATCGTTCAGACAATCTTGTAAAAGACCAAACGCTGTTTGTTCAATCAAAATTAACAGTGACGTAAGATCTGATGAACATAAAATGTCGTCAGTATTAATAGATTGCAAAGCACCAACTGCTTCATTGAACTGACTCTCCTTTACCAACTCACAAACGTAAAGAACTTTCTCTTTTATTCCACCATTCGTCATGTTTCAATAGCTGATTTCTTCTTGTTTAGATTTCTCAATGAGAAATAGTCAAGAAAAAGGCAAGCGTCTCATTCTCTTTTCATTCTGTTTGTGTTACTATGTTCTGGAGATTGTTTAAAAAGAGAACAAAAAAATCTATGTTGATCGTTCAGAATGAGTTCTCGTCATACTTTTAGCTTTTTTGTCATTTTTCTGCATGACTTCTATTGACATTTTTGTGTTCTCATTTATTAGGAACCAATTTTTTTCTTCTCTTCACAAAAATCGAATTTTCGTTGCGCTCTTTATCCGTGTCTACTCGTACGCAATTGAGACGAGTAATGTAACGCGCACATAATGTGTACAAAACATAACCGTCGTTCGTAACGCGTACCAACGATTACGTTGCTCTTTTTTCAATTGGCTCATTTCCATGAACCAGTAAAAAAACAAGAAAAAATTATTAATGAATCGTTTAGTGTTTACTAATTGTCAGATCGACATTACTGTAGTAGTTGCTGGAAGAAAGGCACCTAACTAGTCGAAAAAGCTTTGGTCAAAAAAAAATGCGACGAAAAATTTGTGTAAAGTTGTGCATAAAAGCTCTAAAAAATTATAAAAAACATATTTTCTGAATGATGTTGCATGGATATGTATATAGATATCGCTATAATCAGAAACAGGTGTGTACCTCCTTCAAAACGATTTATTTTCTGTAAGCAAATGATTTCGCATACTCAAATTGAAGAAAAAACGTTTTCCGTTAATACATAATTTAATTGAAAATGTTATCAATGTGAAGTTCTTATCAGATTGATGGTGCGGGTGTGGGTGCATCATCAGCCCATACCCACACCCAAAAATATTGCTTCGGTGGTATAATTGATTAGATGCGTTGCCTTGTGTTCCATCACCAACTACAACAATATAATTTTCATAGGACGGCACCAACCATTTTTAAAATTCTGTTGTTATCAACTTTCGACGTCAAAATATTTATAAGACGATCTAAGTAAATGCCATTACAAATGCAATCGGTCACGTTGATAATGATGATGCCTTCTGTGGAACCATTCGGCCAGAACATAACATGATAGGACTGGTTGTTGTAAAAATCGGCTATGTACATATTTTCAATTTTGTCAACGAATATCTGAAATAGCTTGATGATCTCAGAAACGCTCTTCGCTCCATTCGAAGTCACGCCAGTACCAGCTACGATTATACCGCTATTGGAATCAGCTGAGTATTTTAAAACACAATGATTGTTCGTATCAACGACGTACAAATTGCACTTGTCATAGAAAAATATATCTGTAGGATGGTCTAACTGATCTACCTCTTGAGAATGAAACAAGAACGAAATCGATTTCGATATTATCTGCCAAAGAATTTGACTTGAATCATTTTAACAATAAAAATTTGACATGATGAATTCAAATGAATAGAATGATAAGAACAGATTCTTTGCCATGCCCTATTAATTTCTGTCTGAATTTTCATTGATTTTTGAGGAACCAATTCTGAGACAGTGCATGGTAGTTTCTATCCGAAAATTTCTGGGGTGTGGTTGTGGACGAATCGAATACCCGCGTCTGCATTTTACCCATACCCAACGAGAAAAAGCATGACTTCCGACTTAGTTGATCTCGGTTTGTTTTTTGATTTATATTCGATTCCGACTGAATCTAATTATTCTGACTCGGTCAGACTTGTACTCATATCCTCTCATCGAGTTTTATACCTTACACTGAAGTCTGAGGATGTTAAATTCAAGGTAAGTATGATTGCCTACTCACGACAAATCCTATCCTACCAAGTTGGTTGACTTTCGTACAGTCTTCTCATGTTGCAGTCAGTATTTAGGCAAGAATTAATCAAGATTTATTTATCTATCGGCACACTTATTGGGATCTTTGTTGTAATGGATGGCAGATGCTTACTTCGGTTTTTCTCGAACATTTGATTAAATTCTGATAGGGGTGTGGGTGTGGGATGTGGGTGTGACTGTGGATGTATTCTCTCCAACAACAACCAACCACACACCCACACCCACACTCACCCTCGATTTCTAATGAAGTTGTAAATATCGAGATCATTCTCAAAAGTCAAATAAAATATATAAGCAATTTTGGTTTTATTATCATGATAAAGAAAATGTTGTAGCTAAACATTCTGCATGTATTGCGCTTTGTTTTACAAGTATTTCAGTTTAAAAAAACTCTTTAGAAGAGATTATACATTTACATGTTTATCTTTCTAGTTCAAAATTTTAGGACAGAAAACTAAGGGCTTAAACTTTTTTCGATTTTGGATACAAACTGTATTTTACTTTATTACTACTCATAGAAGTAGAAATTAAAATGAGAATAGTTTATTGTGTAACTTTCAAATTATATCATTGTTTTTATTATGATAGTCTATTATACTACTCATTAGACCGTAAAATTTAAGATAAAATCTCTCTTTATGTAAATTTTAAAATGTAGTATCGCATTAGATATTCACTAAGGCTCCGAACTGCTTCTAGAGTTTACATAGTTGATTACACTATAAATGACCTGAAGAGTTCAGATTCAAAAGCATTTCAGTACCTTAAATATTTTTATTCTTAGATTACTGTAGAGAAAGTCAGTTATGAACGTAATATAAAAGATACGACAAAGAGTTATAAATTTACTGATAATGTTGGAACAATATCAACAAAACTTCGTGATAATGTAGAAGAATAATTGTTTTAATAGGTAAAACATTTATTGAAATATCCTTATGATTTTAGTGTTTTACTTTGTTATGGTGATTGTAAAGGTTTATTGTCAGTTGATCTAACTCTTGATAATCAAAAATATTAATTAAGAATTTGAGATTCAATGAGTAAATTTATTACTAAGCATAATACACTTGAATTATGTAAATTGATCAGCACCACGTAAGTATTTCTATTGAAAAGATAAAAAATTCTTCTAGAATTTCATTTATTTGAATAGAAATGTATTCGAAAATAAATGATATAGAGTAGGCGGTAAACTTAATCATTTTGTTATACACTGAGTTAACGAGAAGTGAACTCAAAAATATATTTTATCTTATCATCAATTCCAACGAGTCAAAATAATCAAGAAAAAGTACTTTGAGGTCCGTAGTCGAGAAGGATCATTGAAACGAAGCAACTCTCTGTTTTTTTGAACTAAACCGATCTCTAGCAGACGAAAATATAATTCGACTCGATCTCTTATTTCTTTCAGAGAGACAATAACTTACTGTTTACATTACTCAAACATAAAGGTAGATTCAAAATGAAAATAAATCAAAAGATCTCAAATTTTTATAATAGTCCATTCTTATTAAATTCTATCTCTGTGCAAGGGTTCAAACCGAAGTTTGAAAATAAATTCTCTTAGTATTCGTCAGAGAAACCACTAAATTCATTGAAAAAACTTCTATTAATTTGCAGTGTTTCTGCAAGCATAAACTAAGCATTTGAACACTTTTTGAAGTATTCAAAACTCATTGGTGTCCACATTAAGGTACATAGATCCGACTCAACTCACCAAAATGAGTGATACAAATTTTCTATTCATGATCGATAAAAAAAATTAGCTCAAATCAAATTTTATCTATGAAATATTTCGATTGCCATTTAACATAAATATTCAAGTTCTCTTTATCTCAATCGACAAGATATTGTTTTACTTGAAAGTCGTGATATACTTCATACAACATTTCTTTGTTTACAAAACGAATATCATTTATGGATTACTTGTTGTCTATTAATACCATTCATTGCCTATAAATTATTACAAGAAAAAGTCTTACCTGTATTTCAATTACGTCAAATAACGTAATATATAAATATTATTGAAGAAAAATTTTTTATAAAATTAAGTACAACATGTGTATTTAATATCATGCATGAATTAATTGATTAAACAGGAATATGTATATGAGATAAAAAAGCTAGGAATGTTTGGTATTATTGATGTATATAGTGTATTAGAATATGGTCAAGTTTTTATTTAATATACAGTATTGGATGATAATAAATTATATGTTTCCGAAGAAGAAGATAATTTAAGAAAATCTAATGTTGATCAATGTTAAATTTTAACAAGTGAAGTTATTATTACAAAAAATCCATGTCATCAACCAGATGATTTATGAACATTTGATGCAGTTGATCGTTCTGAATTAAGACATTTAAAAGATCTTATGATTTTTGCACCAAATGATCCTCAAGGATGTGGGTGTGGGTGTCATTGAAGAAAAGACTCACACCCACCCTACACCCTCATCAAAGAATGTATCGGCCGGATAGTGCAGTGGCTCTGTTGGACCTAAATTTTCATCACAATACCGAAATCGATCCATGATGAAAGTTGGAATGAAATTGAAGTATTTGCCATTTATTTTACTAAACTATTGGCAAATTATTAAAACATATTGTCAATCATAAAAAAAGCGCGATGATGTTCAGCAAAAAGTGTAAATAAATAAGCTTATAAGTATACTGTAGTATTCTCACTTCTTCAGAAAACCCCAATATCCAACGAAAATTTGGAACTTTAGAAAGAAAATTCTCAACAGGAGATTAAGCAGCCAAATAATGCGGGTGTGGGTGCAGAAAAGAAGAAACATCATACCCACACCCACACCCACACATCCACACTCACCCTGTTATTTAAAAAGCATAAGTTTATTCGTTTGATTTAATAGCAACCGACCCTATCATCTGCAACAACAAGTTGAGCTTCACCCTCATCAGGATGCATTCGACAAGTTACATTGACGATTGATAAGGTAGAATGAAAAACCAGGATTGGAATGACTTCACTAACTAAACCATAGACAGTTATCAGTGCTAGATTGATTCCGATATAATTGTTTATGCCTATAACCCGTTGAGAGCTCATAGCTGTCCATTTATTCCATTCACCAAGCAGAGCATATTTTGTTGAACTACTGAATTTGATCAAAGGTGATACATACCAAAGACATATTGATAAATCATGACATTTAGTAGCTGAAACATTTAGAGGATGATCATCATCAAAAGTTGATACTGCTGTTGGATTATCATACGACCAGATCACTCCTGGTTGAGCCCCAATCATAGAAGGATAAACTAAATAATCTTTGTTCATCGCAGACGCAAAGATGGTATAGAATACTTGACCATTTCTAGATACATTAAAATTATTTAGAAGATTAGGAAGAGAAACACTTACATATTAGTTCTTGTTGAATAAAGTTCACCCTGTGAGACCCCCTCATAAAAAGCCCAGTCCGATACTAATCTATTAATCATGGTCAATGGTTGATCTGGCTTCAAAATCAAACCATCTCCACGACAACATTTCATGATATGTTGTGTATTGGTATAATTAATAGCATCTCCAGGACTGACAGGTCCTGTGGATAAAGTCGCAATAAGTATTTCTCGTTCTGGAAGTACTTCTTCAGCATTTGGTTTATAAGGAGATCCAGGTTGTAATGAGGTGGACCAGAACACATCTTTGAATGGTGTCAAACCAATAGCATCAACAAACATGCTCGATATTCCTATAGTCTATTGTTGTGCTTTACCATCAAGATGAAAAGCATAATCAGTTGATGCTCGTGCTTGAGTTACACGTGGAATTTGTAATGCGCTGAGAATATGACGTGGTAAACTCATACAATACTGTATATTTAGTCCGATTTTGTCTGCTGCTGAACCCATTGACATTAGCCATTGATGTCCGAGATTAATATCAGTCAGTGTTGGGAAAAAATCAATTGTTTGACGATCAAGCCAATCTTGTTCATAAAGAATAAGACCCCAATCATGTGCTTGAGTAAATAAATCAATCCAAAATGGATCATTTCCGATTGGTAATGCTTTCTTATTACTTTCATCAAGAACAAAAGAATAATTTTGTTTATAAATAGTTTCATATGCCCAATAGCGATTATGTGCTGCGAGCGAAATATTTTCTAATCGACGATATACAGTTTGAAGACCATCAGGAAAAATATCTGGACGAGCTGTCCATTGGGAAACACCATCGCCCGTACCTTTATAATACCACCATGAATCAAGTTGCATATAATGGAATGGAAGTGAAATTTGATGACGAACATTAACCATAGTTTCTTCATAATTGACTCCTTTTTCTGTATTATAATAATAATAACCACCATTATCGGTATAATATCCAAGATAATTGATCGTAACATCAGATAGACGATGTAGATTCGTTCGATTATATTCACTTTGCATGATTTGACCCCATTCTCTTATTCCTTCATTGATACCATTTAATGCATAAAAAGCCACCATGGAATGAGTATAATTAGCTGGTATTGATAACATTGAACCCATCACACCAAATTCTAATATGTTGCTATACGTTTGACTTAATGAAGTGGCCATAAATTGAGAAAATGGTGAAAGAACTAACATATCACCTTCTCCTTGTTGAGTCAGATTAAAAAGAACAACAGGACCACTTTGTATTCCTGATCGAGTGACTTTACTAGATGAATTCCACCAACCTGCATGTTTACCATCATCACCGGATATTCCTCCTGAAGAAAAGTGAAAGAGAGAGTTAAAAACATTTCTAAAATCAATCTTACCTTCGAATGTAAAATAACCTCGTTGATCATTTTGATCGATTTGTTCAATATGAAACGATGGAAAAACTGTGCGAACATGGTCCATGTCAAGAGGGACGGTATTCGTCAAAGGTCGATCGCCAGTATCCAAATGAAACGAAATTCCGAAAGCACGATACCAATCGCGTATGTGACCAACGATTTTCGTATGTATTCCATCGCGAACAAGATCATAGCTTAATTGAAAATCTCGATAATCACCGAGATTTGGATCAAAACCACTTGTATAACTTATTCCAGTTAATGGTAGTGTATTATCATCGGATGAATACCATTTGTTGTCGACGTATATAGCTGTACGAGATGAACGAAGCCAAACGCGACGACTAATAGTAATATTGTATCCTCCTTTGTCATCAATTACTACATTTATATTACCCCAACTCCAACATTCAACTATAAGAAGAAGTAACACTAAAACATGCATCTTCATCAACTACTCTAACCAACATACAAGATAACAGTGCTATTTATATAGATAGTGATAGGAAGAGATCTCTCTATGTTCGTGTTTGAAGTCTAAATCGTGAATGTGACATAAGCAACATTTGTCCTAATATTTGGAGGGTGAGTATGACAAACACAATACGAGCGATGACATAATTCCAATACACTTTATGACATTCCCCAGAATCGAGACGAAATGAGGTGATTTCATGCATTCACCTCAATATCCTATTTAATCATCTTCGTCCGTAAAATCATGTATGTAGATCTGGGTATTGAAATGGAAATGATGGTACAAAATTTATTACTTGAACTTTCATTGTGTTGCAATAGAATAAGTGTCGATAATAATTAATGTAATTCTGTTCAAATTTTCAATCATACTCTTGCTGTTGTTATGCTATGTTTAGCTACCATTTTTTGGAAGAGATAAGAAAGTGTCTTGTGATTCATAAATATGACATGAGTCAACTTCGGCACATATAAGATAATGTGTGCAAGGAATCTTACCTTGGATGCCTAGAAGAATATTTTTTGTCACTGCCGATTGCAACTTTTTGTGTGCCCTTTCTGGTTACCTTCACTTTTGGTAGAAAATGCTCAGTACTAAGAGCAATTTATTTCATACGGTGACGTCAGATGGGTGTAGGTGTAGGTATTCTTTTAAAACATCCACACCCATAGGGTGTGAGTGGGTGTGGGTGTGAATGTGAGTGTGGGTGTGAGTGTGAGTGTGGGTGTGGGTGTGGGTGGGTGTGAGTGTGTGGGTGTGGGTGCGGGTGTAGGTGCAGGTGTGAGTGAGTGTGGGTGTGGGGGTGCGGGATGTGGGTTTTCGCACGAGTGTGGATGTAAGTGCGTTAAGAGAAGGGCAACACCCCCACCCACGTCTCCACCATTTGTTGTAATGATTGTCGATTTCTCGATGAAATGCTCATCATGAATTTATAAATGATGACCATTTAGCAAATGAAAATACTGCGAATGAGTTCAGCAGAAGACTCTATGGTCGCTGATTAACATTGCTTTTTTAGATTTTCGAATGGTATCCATCGTTTTCATAGGAAAATCAAATTGATAAAGAATCTCATAGAAATTGAAATTCTTCTTGAAAAAAAGCGACTGAACAGTCTTGTCAAAAGAATTGATCTGACACAATAATTGACATCATCTATATTTATTTTTGTGTGATTCGGAAGATTGATTCGACTGTGATCTTCGGACTTGGGTAGCAATCGTGTTGCTTCGGTTAGAAAATGTGATGAAGAATCGATAGAGATAACGTTGGCCATATCTTATCTTTAATGAAAAGAGACCAGCTAGTGTTTGAGAGGTGACCATTTTCTAAGCAAAACAGATTCTTCTCGAGAAGAATCTTGTCTCGTGCATTGAAAATGTCCAAGTTTAACGAATTAGTGACTTCAGAACATCTCAAACAATTCGATCAGCACGGGTACAGATTGAAATAGTTCCTTCCATTTGAGAAAAACTTTCTTCTGCTAGGTATTTCATTCTTCCATCAGTCATTCCTGTTGAACATCTAACAATCATGAACAATGTCATTGATCGAGCAATCAAGAAACGAGATGAAAAGATGGATCAGATGATCAATGGTAAAAATACAACACCAGAAGATGATGGATTAATATTGTGTTCAACCGATGGAAAGTATTTCTTCTTTATGCACGAAGACTCCGAACCTGAAATGAAGAAAATTATCTTTAGTAAATATATGGAACAAATTGTTCGAGGTATCCGATCATTTCTTCTGAACAGAACAGACTTCATTTCTTATTTTATTGTAGCTGTATTAGGTGAAAATGTCTATTATACTCATTCGGAAATCGTTGTCAAACGTGGACAAGGAAAGAACGATTCTTCGAGAAGAACTGCTTTCGCTTGGCATCAAGATAGTGGTTATGTTCCGTATGAACATACTCCTTATCTTAGCTGTTGGTGTGCATTGACGGAGATGACATCGAACAATGGAACCATCTCGGTCCTACCAGCGGAAAGAAATCCGACCGCTGATGAACATCACAAAATTCGTTGGTTTGGAAAAGCACGACCTTCATGTGAAACGAAATTTCCTTCTTATGAACATCGACCAGATGATTCCAGTCCAGATCTACTTGGATATTTTGGAAATGATCCCGGTGTTGAAGTTGTTTGTCCAGCTGGAAGTATCGTTGTCTTTTCCAGTCTGACACTCCATTCTTCCTCACCCAATCGAAGTGATTTTCTTCGTTCAGCATACAATGTTCAATATGCACCTGTGCCATTGATGAGTGAAGATCAAAAATCTTTTCGACATAAAGCAGATCCATTTATTATTCAATCGAAAACTAATGAAGAACTGAAGAAATGGCAATTATAATTTCCATCATCAACAAACTATCTTTCCAGATTTATTCTTCATTTCAACGCAAAGAAAGATTTTTTTCAGGAATAAAAAGATCAAGTTTTCCGTTCTAATTATTGGTGAAGTGTTCATGATGAAGATGCAGAAAATCGTTGGCCATTTCTGATGATGAATAAATTGTAGATGTTCACACAGAGACTAACGATGATAACAAATAGTGCAAAATTTGTGAGGATTAAAATAGTATGATAATGGTATTGACCGTTATCTCGGGATTTGCACTTTTCGTCTATGTCCAAAAGCTGAGATACATAGGCGATGAACACGAGAATTTGAAAAAAGAATTGAAGGGTGTGGATGTGCATATGCGTGTGTGGTATGGGTGTGGATGTGAATTGGTGTAGGTGTGGGGAGTGGATGTTGGTGTGAATCCAACGAAGACCTGACACCCACACGCACATCCACACTCTCAAAAAGTGCCAAAAATCGGGTGATGCTCTTTCCGAAGAACTTCTAAGTAATCTCATTTCATAGAGAATGGATGATTTGACATTGAGTTTCCTTTATCGCAATATTCATTCAATTGAAATACAGTTGACGATGCAGTTTTGTCGAGCAAGAAATGAAGTTTTTTTTTGTCAAACCATTTCATGTATTCGAAGTCTCAATCGAAATATTAGATTTTCAATAAAAAGAACACCACCGTTTTTGAGAAAGTTGTTCAAACTCAATGAAATTTGGGCTGCTAGTAGAAGTAAATGAGATACATTTACCATAAAATGTTGAGCTCAATACATCTTATTGACGAGATGTTATACTGATAATATGTCTGGATGAAATTAATGTAAAAATAGAAGGTGGGTGTGGTTGTCGATGGCGTTCGGGTGTGAGTGGATATGGAGTATGGGTGAGGATCTTCTCTTCTTTTACTCACTCTCACTCGCACACACACTGGCACTAATATCATCCACGCCTCGCATCCACACCCATCTGTAATTTGATCATGAACATCATCAATTGCAGTTTGGTGCCTTTAAAAATCACCTTTTAAAATATTCTACACTAAATCATTTTCAGTTGTTATCAAGGATATTTGGCTATAAATATGGGTAAGGGTGTGAATATTATCTTAATCCACACCCGGAACAGAGGCATAGGCTGACTCTACAAATTGACTTGTTCTTTCAATAAAAGTCATTGTTGAATGCATTTTCCAAGATTTGTTTTTCAATTAAATCCGCTATGGTTTCTTCTTTGATTCTATAGCACATTACAATAGAAACTTTGCATATGCAACCCGATTCTATGGAGTTCTTTAGAGTAGAAATTATTTATTTCAAAACAAATGCAAAAAGGAGCTGAATTCTAAACCAGAACAATTATCTTTTCGTATGAGATATGCTCGTATGTGTTTTGTCCTTCTCATATGCCAATAATATTCTCAGTAGTTTCTGAAATGAATAAGAAATCGTCGACAGATATGTAATAGCATCGTAATCTTTTTCTCTATTTAAAAAAATCGATAATATCACTTCTTTTGAAATTAATATAGTAAAAATTAATATTGCAATAAAAATCATACTATAATTTTGAGACATCATATCATATAAACTGAAAGAAACGATTTAATATAATCTCGAAAACAAAATTTATTAAATAAATAAAAGACTATACATATAGCATTACAAGTATGAAAAAAGGGTGTGGGTGGGTGTTGGTGTGGGTGTGGGTGTGGGTGTGGGGTGTCGGTGTGTGGGTGTGGGTGTAGGTGGTTGTGGGTGGGTGTGGGGGATGTCGGTGTGTGGGTGTGGGGTGTGGGTGTGAATGAACTAAAGGCTTCCAACTAACCACAACCCACTTCCACGCCCAACCACACCCTCACACCCACACACCCACACCCACTCACACCCACACCCACACCCACACTCACACCCACACCCACACCCTAACTAGGGCCCTGCGGGAACGTTTTTTTCCCGTATTTTTCCGTCCCGTTTTCCGCGGGAATCGGAAACGAGAATTCCCGTGGACACTTTGGGAACGGGAATGATATTAGAAATTGGCATTCCCGAAAATCTTTTTGTCTTATTTTTTTATGTGCATCAAAAGATCTTTAGGTAACGTTCTTTTATTTCCAATAGCTATTTATACATATATTATTAATAGAGAAATAATGAATATCTATCAATAGGAATAAGACAAATTCATTTGATGTTCATTAAATCCTAATTCAATTATAAATTTGTCCAAAATTCACTTCTTACACCAGCTGGTTTTATAAATGAAATAGATAAATCACTTGATATTACTAAACCTTGAATTTCAGCTTTTGATAAAGTCGATTTTGTAGAATTTGTCGAAGACATTTCACGAAATTTAATACATAAAAGATTTACTAACAGAGAGAAATTTTCAATATTTTACAATCAAATCCAAATCTGAGTTGTATGATTAGTCAAGTGTACGTCCAGTCCTAGTTTAACTTTTAATTTTATACCTCTTATGCTGTGCAAAAACGAGATGTCACGAAAAACTAATGTTTAATAATGATATTTTTTATGAACACGAATATCGAAATACGAATAAAAAATTACAAAACATTTCGGGAACGGGAAGAAAAT